CTCTGTTGGTATTTTTTATTTAACTTGATTCAGTAAAATAAATAAGAGGACTAATAAAGCTATGGTTTTAATAAAATACAATAGACAAAGGAAGGCTTGTGTTACAGCTCTAATATTTGTACTGTGAATAACTCAGACTTACTAACTGCATTCCTTGGATGTCTTAAAAAATTGCAAATTAAGTACTAAATAATGTTAAAATAATGCTGTAATTTCAAACTACTCAGCTACACAGGTATATCTGTCTCCTTCTTTCATACTTCCTTTCTTAGTTACTCACATTGAAAACTACTTGTCACAAAGGTAATGATTTTCATAGAGACAAATAGCTGGTAGGCACCCAGCTCCCAAAGCAAATCATTGTGAAAGATTTTTTTCCAGTGTTTTTGATCCCTCCATTTTTTTTCCTGTAAGCCAAAATATATATGCTGGATAAAATTAAAAAAAAAGCAAGTGGGTGGGGAGAAATCTGGAAGAAGCTATGGGCAGTTGATAGAATGACTAATCTCTCATGAGTCTTGGATTTGGTCCTAACTATGCCTTGTTATTTAGCTGGAATGGCTTACTTTGAAAATGGTCAGTGTCAATAGAATATTTATACCAGATGAAGAAAATGTGTTCAATGAAGTATTTTCAATTGGATATGGCAGTCTTTTTGCCTTCCTTTCTCCAAAAAAAAAAAGTACTTTAATGTGCCCTGTTTATTTGCTGCAACATTTTGTTCTAAAAGTGGTTTCTCTTCCTTGGTTGAGGAAGTGGCTTTTATGCATAAAGTTTCTAGAATGCCTTGGGGCCCAATGCAATGAAAGCCTGCTATATAGCGATCTTTTAAAATACTAACTTTGAAATTATCATTAGCATTAGTATGGTACAGAACTTGCTTTCAGAGGCCTTTAATGTGGCCATGCACAGTATGTATGTGTGTTAGGAGATCATTCTTAGGCTGACCAGCTTATAGTCTAAACAAATAGACAAGGAAGAAGATAACGGATGTACTAGCATTCTCATTTTATAGCAGGAGAACTGCAGTACAAAGCAATTAAAACTTGCCCAGTCTTGCAAGAACTCTAACACATGTGTAAAGTGCTAATCAATTGAACCCAGATTACTGTGGCCCCATACAGCACCTTAACCAAAAAGCCATTCAGGAAATCAAATACACACTAGATTTAAGTCCATACAGGTGCTTAAATGCAACATAAGCAGGTGGTAAGTGCCCTTTCTGAATATGGATGTTTTACTGAACTGCAGCCTTTATAAATATCAGGCTCTATGTTCTTTCTCCAGGACATTTGTTTTGCAACATCAATCTGTTTGTGATCTATCTTTTGGGCTTGATCCAAAGCCCAACAAGTCAGTGGAAACCTTTCCAAGGACTTCACAGTTCTTCAGTGTAGACCCTCGGTCAAGTGCAGATTAGATATTTACAACAGTATGCATATTACTTATATGTTTGGAAAAAAAAATAGTGAATGCCTGAAGTTGCTTTTTTGATGGGCGCTAACAAGAATGTCCCAAGTAAAAAAAAAAGTGTGAACAAGAGAGAAAGTACAAACAAAGCAAACTACATAGTCATATGACAAGGGTGTAGCTGAAACTGAGGGCGCTGTAGGCAGGGAGATGGCAGCCTTGTAGTCTTTGCCCTTAAGAAAAGCATCAAAGTTTCAGGAGAGACTGAGCAATTTACTGGTGCTGTTTCTGCCTGGATTAGCATGCTGTCAGAGCAGTGCAATTCCCTTCAGTGTTGTAAGCTCATTTCAAAGGCAGTGTTTTGAAATGAGCTGGTGTTGGCTCTAAAAGCAACAGAAGGTAGATTAACCAAAGGCACTACATAGAAAGTTTTATTATTTTGCATAGCTTTTTCCGAGAAAAATCTTGCCCTTTAAGTTTAGCTTAGGTTCTGAAAAAATTGAAAAACTGACATTGTAAAGCTGTGTTTCTCATCCTTATGTAAAAACAAATTAAATACACAAATAAGGGTATTTTCCATAGGTGCTAGCTCTGGTTCAGGTTTTGATTCATGTAATAACAAATACAAAATGTTTATTGTGATGTTATTGCTTGAGACAGATAAGTAGATCAGGAGGTACCCAATCTACCTTTGGCTATATAAAATTTGGGAGTCTAGTTTAAGCTAGTCCTGTATATGCCCTCTGTAGTAACTGGACAGAAATAAAACCTCAAGAAAAAAGTCATGCTATCCCAATGTAAGTGAATTGACTGGTTCTTTGGAGATGCTTTTCTTTCTCTCCATTATCTGTGGAAGGGACTCAGCTAACTAACTTAGACTAGACACCAATTTTTAGAGGACTGTAGTAAGGTAAAGGTAATTATACTGAAGGACCTGGCACTCAAATGCTCTAAATGTAACAAACTTGCACAAATAACAAGGTACTACTAAAAGGTGACCAATTCTGGATGTAAATAATTCACCTGAATGTAGAACAATACTCTGTTACAAGCATGTTGTTGATGTTTGGTTATCTGTAGAAAATTAATTTCCATAGTGATCAGACATGTGGAATGGTAATTTCCTGAAAATTCAGAATCCTGGCTATGTAGAAATGCTTCTGCTTGACTGCTGTGATTATTTGCACCACATGATCTGAGGGTTTTTTTTTTCCTGTGACAGTAGTGTCTCCTAATGTTAAAGAGATATTTTGACATACAGATTTAGTGATTGGGAAGATTCATTTGTCTTTATGGGAATTGTTCTCCCTCCTGGGACTCTTTAAGCCACCTCAGCCTGGCTGATGTGTCATCTTTTACTTGTGAAGACATTGTTGAAGAAAAGTTTGGGCCTAAGTTGCTTAACAGTAGTGAATAGACTAGTGCTGCTTCCACATAAAGTGTCCTTGGCCTGCACCATCATATATGACTGATCAAAAACTGAAGAAAATTACTAAAAGAATAGAGAATGAAAGCATGTATAAATGGCTTTTTTTGTCACTGTATCTGAATGTTTTTTTTTTAATCTGTAGCTTCTTACAGTTTTCAGTATGACGCCGTATCCTGTGTATACAAGCCTATCTTAGTAGATGAATGACATAGGGTAGCATTTGCAAGGAAAGACTTTCTTATGGTTAAGGCACTTGATGACTGATTTATGGTGTTGTGCCAAAATTCCTGAATATCTTGGACAAGCTTATTAAGACCAGATTGCATACTTTTTGCAGATACCATTCAACAGTTACTCAGTGAGTAGCCAATTGACCTTCTATTTTGATCAGATTCTCCCACCTCTAACTCACAGTGGCAGAATTTTATTCTGTTAGGTAGACCCATTCATTTTAATGAGACTTCTCTCAGAAGCGTGAGTAGGGATGGCAGATCTCACAACACAAGGGTACATTATGTTTTTCTCTATTAAAAAAGGGAGTGGAAGATGCAACTGTTAATTCTGCCTCAAAAGTGCTGGTGTCATACTGGGAAGAGATTGAAGGTAAATTTTTTCATCTTGGATGCAACAAGGATAAGAAAATCTAACCCAGGATATAACCTATGTCTGGAAAGATGCCGCTGTTATACATATCAACATCAGTAATTTAAATCTTTAGCCATTCTAAAAGAAACTAGCCAAATTAAAAAAATTAATATATATGATCAGTAAACATACAGAAAATTTGACTCTGTGACTATGTTCTGGGGTCACCCACTAACATATTGCTTGACTCCTTTCGAGTCTCTGAGCCTTAGTTTTCCCATTTGCATGTCAGGTATAACAATGATTGATCTGTCTCCCATGGGCACAGTGAAAATTAGTATTTATAGATGTTTTAAAATTGTTCAGTAAAAATGACTGATAGGTTCATTACAAATCCTTCTTAGTCACTGATATAGTCCAGAAATAAATCTTTAGACTCAGAATATTGAGCACAGCTTTGTCAGGGTTTAAAAAATGAATTTCTGTGTCATGTAATTCAAAAAGAAAAATCCAAATAAAAATTGTGTTGAGTTGCTTGCTTCCCACTCCAGAATTTCAAAATGACTGTTCTTTTCACAAATACTTTGTTGGTCATATGTCTACACTGCATATGTGAAGTTAGCTGCAAGTACTAGAAGGAGTCTTACCAAGGCATTGCCATGCACATGACATAAATATTCCGAGAAGCAGAATAGATTACGTTCATTTAGGGCTTACTCAAGTATTGTTTTTTAGTATTGACAGTGTGATAAAGAAATTAAGATCAAAGAATAAAGGAATTTTTTTCTGGGAAATCGAGTCACATGTAAGTTGAGAAGTCTCTTCAACATCAGTCAAAAATGAAGCAAATTCAAAAAAAGTTGCTTACAAAAGAAAAAGGGGAAATACAATTTCTGAATTTGCAAATACCTATGCATATGCTTATTTCAGTCCTATTCAGCTTGATCATGACAAAATATTTCCTTTCATAGCAGTTGTGGCTCCAGACTGTTCTGTGAGTTCACTGTAAATGTTATTAGGAAAGAAAGTGCAAAAAAGCCAAAACTGAAATATATTAGATATTTGGTAACTTTGGGGATTAAAATCCAGCAGTGCCTTTTAAAATCCATAAATCTAAAGAAGTTCACATTTCATTTCTTTCTTTGGTATTTTGTCTTTACATTTGCACTGCTTCCTTAATAAAATACTGATTTTGAATGTCTCCAGCTAAATTTACTTCCTCTGTGATTTTTTTTCCTTAAGAGAAACAAAAATCCACTCAAAAAGATGTAGCGCACCTGCTCATACTTTACATGTTTCATAAATGTAGTTTAGCATCTTGCACTGTCTCTGTAAACCCTCATAAGCACTGAATTTATCATTTGAGTTTTAAACACACAAAATCTAATCTGTCTTTATTTGCTCATGTCACCTCTAGTGATATTATTCATTAAAAAAACAAGAATGTAGTACCACTGCATTACAAACTACTACTTGAATTCAGGGTTTTGCTCAGCTCCTACAGGGTTAATTTTTATGTGAAAAAAATTGTTTTGTTTGTGTGTTCTCTAAAACCCATGTTAATTTTTTTTTTAAGGTCTGGGTTAACCATTGAAAGTATCTTCCAGAACTGTCTTGACACTTTTGGATACCAAAGGTAAATGCAAAATATCTGTTCTCAGTTCTTTCTGGAGACTTGCATTTCACATTACATTATATGTTATTTAATCATTACCTTAAGTTATAACACGTATGGTTTTAGATTAATTAATTTTGATGATGACTGCTTTCTATGTCTTTATACAGTGTTCATATGGTCTTAGTTTTTATCAGTTGCAGCTTTTTGCTTCTACCATCATCTCAAAAGAACCTGCCGAAGGGCAAATCTTACAAATCTTACCTTATTGCTTAATATTCTAGTAACTGGGAAGTAGGCTATATAGTATAGTGATAGACTTTACTAAATGTAAGGAGCATTGTTCACATATGTCAGTATGTGAATTACTGACAGCCATACTGACAGCAATACCTTCACTAAACGTTAAACTATTTGTACTTTGGTATTTTGTGAATATTGTGACTTGCTCATGAATCTGCTACACGGGTAACAGGTATTTCATTGGTGTTCCAGCTCTGTTGTAGTTGAGACTGAGCATTATTTTCTGTTTTTAATATTAAACGTTTTAAACTCTATGAACTTAAATGATTAATATTCTGTGCTATGCAAAGGCTCTGATTATTGGTTTTGGTCCAAAATGGGGATCAGCTGAAGAAAAATTTCCCTGGATAAAACTTCCTAAAAACAGCTTTGTACAAAATCTGTTTTATTATACACACAGAGCTCAATGTATAACTGATTTCCCCTAAGTTGGCATTAGTTGCTTGGGATTTATCTTGCCTAGTGCATTGCATTTGTTTCCACTTTGCATTAGCAATATTTAAAAAAACTTTTAAGAGTCCCTAGCTCCTACTTTGTGTGTGCAGAAGTAAAGTGCACATATGTAGCAAGGCTGGGGCTCTGTGGAGTCAGCACGTTTGCAGACGGAGCTGTCAAAATAGTTGGAGAGCTCAAAATGATAAGACGTGATCACTGAACCTGAGCCACACTCGAGCACTGTGCTTGAGCTCTGCCTTGGCTGCTTTAGAGAAGGTGTGTTGTGCATGTCTGTTGTGCCCCTGTATCCTACAGGGGTTTCTTTTGGAAGCTTTGTCCTGAGATCAAAATGTTCTAGGCATAATACTTGAAGAGGCTAGAAAATCAAGGTGGAGGATTTTTTTTTTTGTTGCTGTAAAATTTTTGAAAAGAAAATTAACATTAATTAGAAAGGGGAAAGGAAAGTAAGTATTATCATGCATCATGATGTTCCATCATTTCTTGAAGAAGGGTGTTGATTTTTAATACTATGCCTTGATCAGGGTTGTGTTCCTTATAGAAAATTCCATACATTGCAGAACAGCTGCTCTGAGTAGAGAGGAGAAGCTAATATTAGTTGTAAGATGCTGGCACTCCAAAAATGAATGGTTTTCTGTCATTTTGCTTACAGCTATCTCTTTGAGGATGTGTCTGTCACACACTCAACTTTAAAATCACAAATAAGAAGAGTGGGAGCAGACTAAAGAATTGAACATAGTTTTGATTAATGTGAATACTGAACTCTCTGTTTACCTGAGTGTGTACCTTAAACTGTCCAGCATGACTAGCAAGTAGTTTCATTATCCCCTGCAAGTATCTCTTGGGTGTACAAGCAAAACATGTAGTAAAAATATTTCCACATCCAGCAGGCTTGTAAATTGCCGTAAATTTTCTTTAAAGACCAAAGAGATTTCCCTTGGAGTTTGGCTGTTCTGTAAAAATAACAGTGTTAACTGGAATGATACTGATTTAGTATTCTGCTTCCTTTGAGAATCAGCATGCTGACCTCTTCCCTCTGTCTCTCTCTTCCATCAATAACCTTTTTGATGATTTACCCTTGTTGCCTTCAGCACTTCTCATGCTCTTGCAGGAACTGGTCTCCACTTTATTGAAAGAAATGGAGTTGTCATTCAGTGAATAGGAAACCTTGTTCGTTTAGTGCTTCATTAAATCATTTGGCAGGGGGGGAGCCCTTATTCCTGAAATCAAGACTGTAGAGGTCGTTTAGTAGCTCTCAATACATTAGTATCTTGTATAATCTAAATATGGCTATATTTACTGACTGTAGAACTATAATCTAAATCTGCTAGTGTGCTATACAGGAACTGATACAGAAATCTACTTAAAGTATTTAGATTATATTTTTTCAGCCAACTATTAACTTGGCTAACATGATGGATCAGGGCTGGCAAAGGCATATAAACCACTTTGTTACATCTGTGTGAACTATCTGCATCATAGCTAAATGCCACAAAACTGACTTATCCTCTCTCACATGGGTTGGGAGGTGAGTGGACGAGGGTGGGAGAAGAGGAAGGCTTCTCTCTGCTCCTTTGGGCTAGGCAATAGGGCTGAGCCAGATAGGCAGTGTGAGCTCGATGGAGGACGGAGTATCCACTGCAGTTGACTCCCTTTCTTAAATAGTGGAGCAACTGCAAAGCAGTTGGTGAATCTCAATTCCCAGGGTGTCCCAAAGACAGGGCAACAGCATCCTTTGCTCTACCCAGGACTCAACAATTTTCTGCTCATCGCCCTTATTTTGCAAACAGCACTATAGAACCTTGTAGCATGGGAGTTAGAGTCACTCTTAATCCTGCAGCACGTGCTCTTAGAGGGTTCAATATCATTCAGGACAAAATGTATTTGTTAGTGTTTCAGTAGATACTGATTGAGAACACCCACATTTTTTAAATGTTAAATTTACAAATAATATCTAAAACTCTATTGCATTTGGAGATAAAACTTTCTTACTGAAGAGACTATCCTGTGTAGTGGGATAGGGAAATACACATCCAGGTGTCCATTCTGAAAATCAGGTCAGGGCATAGTTCCTTTATCTCTCTACTACATGTGAGTGTTTATGTTTTATAGTGGCTCTGGTTGTTTCCATGGCATCTTTTATTTTTATGTTTTGATGATTTCTGCTCAGGAAATTCATGTGAGTCACTGAATATAGGGAAAACTCACTACTTTAGCTCATTTACAGTATTATCTACCAAAGTGTTTTTAAGCATTTTCTTCTGTAGTTATATCCAAATCTATCACCTTTACACAGCTGGTACTCTGTAAGATTTGATAACAAGGTGGTCATGTAATGAGAGTTGGCAGCCCACCCCCCCAGTTCATTATCCTCATGCCAATTGGCTCGGTCCTTGTGCAAAAATGAATGAGGGTAACTACTTTCCACTCCTTAGGCTGCTGAAGCAAGATTACTTAACATCTTCATTCCAAGGGAGGAATTAGCATTTTGTATTCCTTACAGTCATCTGTCATGGCATCTGTGTAATGGAAGATCCTTTACTCCTACCTGTGGCCTGTTCCATTTGCCATCCCAAATCTTGTCTCCACACTCTGTACAGGGAACCATATAAATATACTGCTTTATACTTGTAACTTATAACTAGAAAAACTTTAATATTTGTCAATCTCTATTAGCATTATACTCTTGGAAAGGGCATTTTGTCTTTTTCTTATTATTGGATCAGTTTCCAAGATCATACATACCTAGTACCAATCAAGAGTATCTCCACTAAAGTTAGGGGAGTCATACTGATAAATACATCAGAATTTGGCCTACTGCCCTGAAAAAAAAATTCTGCATGCCAAGTTACACTTCCAAATTCTTTATTTTCTAAAGCATTAAAGGTTAATCTTATAAAAGAGGGTGTATGGTAATGACTGGCCAATCCTTTCCTACATGGAAGAATGCCACGGCACAGTGGTTCTCTTCTGGCTTGCTGTGCAATAAGGTTTTCTCACGTAATAAAACAATAAGCAACGTAAGAGATAAAAAGCAAACATTTCTGAAATACAAGCTTTCAGAAGGTTTTTTTTTGGGGGGGGGACACTGTGGCTGTGTTAAATAAGATGAAGCATTTTGCATTGTTGGAAATGCAGTTTATCAAATCAAGTATCAGCATGTACTTAAGTCTCAGAGGTGACTCACCAGGGGATTATAGCAACCTTTCATCCTGCATGAGGCTAGTAATGACTTAACAGCACTAAGGTTAGTCAATGAGTTAAGCTGGCAAGGAGCTGAGTCAGAAGAACAAAACAGCATTTAGAGCTGGAAAACACCTATGAAATCACTTAAATCCACTTTATCCCTGCCACTGATGACTTGTTCTCTAACATACAGTTTCTGTTGTATTTTCCAGTCTATGTGGTGGGTTTGCCCTCATTTAATTAGAGTTTAAGACTAAAAGAACATATGTTTGTTGAGGAAGATTTTCTTCTATTCTGTATAGACTTGTCTTTGTTTTATATTGTCCAGTTACTCTTACCTGAATTTCTTATTTTACCCTAGACAGTTAATCTTCTTAAAATATACTTTAAAATCTTTCCCCATTTTCAACTCCATCGTGCATTGTTTTACTGAGCAATAAACAAATAAATGTTAGATAGTCACTTCATCTCATAAATTCCTACGTGTACTTTTTGAACACATTCCAGCTTCTCCATCTTTTCTTTTGCCTCTGTGAAACTGCACTTTCATAGCAAACTATTATTTACTGGTAAACTTGCTATCTGGAGTGTTCCATGGGTGTGCCTATGGTTTGTTACCTTGTGTTATGAAAACAATCACTCGCGTTAAAAAGAAATACTTAGTCAGTCCACTCCTTCGTAACACACAGTTTCCATCAGATCCGTCAATGAAATTTAGAAGTCTTATGTGATCACATAGCTCCAGGCACTAGAAACACACCAAACATCCTCTCAAAATTATGAAAAAATTGCAAGAGTTGATAGCACTTCTCCCAATCCCCTTTTCTACTTCATCTTCTTATTAAAACTTAATTCTTCCACCCTGTTCTACCTTAAATAGTATTTCCTGATTAAAGTAAGTACTGCCAGCAGGTATTTCAGAGTAGGTACAGCTTATTATGAGTGTGAGAATACCATTCCATGCTTCCTAATTCCAAATGAACACTGGAATGCAACCTCCTGGTACACAACTAAAATTTTTACCATTTAAAAAGGATTAATAATTTTTTTCCTCTCCGCACTGTTTTGTTTTTTCTTCCTTAGCTTAAAATGGTCTTCTGTGGTAAAGCAGTAGTTCCATCTACTAATATTATTTGTAAACCAACTACATTTCCAGAAGTATATGGTCAAGAGAATTCTTCCACTGGTGAATATTCATTTATTCAGTATTTTTGGATTTGTTTGTACATTGGACATATTTGTAGGATGGCCTTACTGGAGGAAGAAATGGATTGGATTGGAAAGGAAACTCATAGCACAACTTCACAAAACCATTAAAAAATGAGCAAAAATATAATTTGTAAAATGTCTCAAATCAATGCAAGTAATGTGTTTTTGTGGCTTTATAAATTTTAGGAGGATGTTATAGCAGCAGCTCAAGTACTTAGTATGATTTCTGATAAAGCAGTTTGTTACTGAGAAGGTTCCTGTCTTTTGCCCCTGTTATAAACTTTATAGAGTTCCCATTTCCTTTTACTAAGAGAAAATGACTGATGAAGGGATAGCTCTACAAGCGAATGCATCATAGGTTAGCTGTTACAGTCAATTACTAAGAAACTAGACAAATCCAAACATTTTTAAAGAGTGCTCTCATTACAATTCTGAATGACATTCATCAGTTAAGTACCTAAGTTTTACAGAGAGTATTAGAGAATCTTTCAGCAGAAAAATCACTCTTATTGGATCAGTGTAGCTTAAGGTTTGTGTATAACTTAATACTTGATTGGCTTGGGTGTAACTTAATACTTGATTTTTTTTGTCATTCCTACTCATGCCTTAGCTTGTAATATTTTCTGTCTGGATGTGTACAATCACATATTGGTGGATGGCAACACGGAGTCAGTTAACAAGTGAAATCCTTATTATTTGTGCAGATAAAGTACATTTATAGACATTGGCAGTGAGAATGACCTCTTAAACAGGAAAACCTCATTCAAACTCAAGATCTGGGGAAAAAATTGGGAATGGGATATGAAGAGGTATAATTTTATCTTATTCATGTAATGAAACTTAACAGTGGCTCTGTTAGATTTCATTTCAAACTTGGCATTAAATATGAGTTACAAGAAAAATGTGCTGCTGCTTAAATACTCAAGTTTACTACTTAGCTGACCTCAGAAATTTTTTTTAATCTGAACATGGAGACTTTTGTGTGTATTTTCACATCATTGCAGAGAATATAATTGATTGATATTTGAATTCTAATGAGTTGATATTTGAAGAGTAATCTGAAGAAAGCTTAATTACTACTTTGAGAGAAGTACTTATTCTTGTACTTGGAAAGCATACTTTGAAGAATAAACACTTCCCCTCAAGAAAAATGGTTTCCTTTGGACATTAACCTGCTTGCGGATTGGAAGATTTGAAAGAGCCTTCAAAAGTTCTTAAAAATTTACATTAGCATTGATCAACAATATAAATTGATTAATGGAATTTCTAACGATAACAAGCACAATAAGACAAATCTTTATGAATATGAATCATTGGTGCTTTGTTTCTTCAGAAATTAGCAATTGTACTGTCAGCATTGAATCCTGTTTCCTCAGAAGAGAAGATGGGATTTTGGAAAGTGTAAAAATGCAATGAAACAAACTGTATAGTACTGTAGGGTGCACAAATGTCAGATGAATCATGAAGAGAAACAAACCAAGACAGATTGCACAAACAGGCTTTCTCGCTATGCTGTTAACTCTTTGAAAGACTTTTTAGATAAAGTCTATCCCTCTGAAAGTCTTTCTAGATAGAGAAATATGAGGGCTAAGACCAAAATTAGGGACCTATGTGTAGAATTTGGTGCAGGAAGTATTTTATGTTTATGGCAAATTATCAAATAAGTTGTCTGGTATGTCATTATTTAAATAAGCCTTACACTGATCTAAAGAAAGTTATTGATGTAAAATGGACTTGTAATTTATTCAGCTGTTCCTATAGATCATACTTAATATACTGTTAAATAAGGCCCAACACTGGTATATTTTGGTTTGTTGAATAGCTCAAAAATTCAAGAAAATGGCTTATATAAAATGATACATCATTAAATGTCAGTAATGACCCAAATTTATTTCAGAACTCTTCAAGTTTATTATCTAACAAACCAGGCATAGCTTAGAAAATTTTTATAGTTTTGGAGGGTTTGGGGTAAGTTTCTTCTGCATTGTATGTGATTGCTGGTTTTAGGAGTAAAATACAGAGACATGACTCAAGATCAGAATAGTACTGTTATGAATTATTGTGTGATCACATTCTAAATTTGGAAAACATGATGCCTCAGGTTAGGCACCTACATACTACTCAGTAACTGGATGTCTGGATTGAATATAAATGTTCAGTTTTAAATGTTAATTTTGAAAATATGGGCAATAACATTTCAGTGCCTCTGTTTTTCTAAAGTGAAGTTTAAAATATTTTACAGGAGTTTTAGGAGTCTTAATTTATCCATTAATTCAGTAATACAGAAAAAAATGCTTTTGAGATTCTCAACTGAGACTGTGAATCTGCAATAAGGCAGAGTAGCATACTTCACTGGATTTAGTTTAATGACCAGCTAAAACATTGGCCTACCTCTTCAATCAAAAGTCAGGTTTTCACAAATATCTTTCTGTTTTTCTTTAGACTACCTTTCAGCATTATATATATATGTATATATTTATCTCCAGCTCTGAGGTACAGTAATAATAGTATAGTAAATCTGAACAAGTAATAGCTTGTTCAGAAAGCTGAAGTGCATTTGAAATAAATGTCCCATTTCTAAAGTAAATGTGGACTGGGTTCCTAAGGTTTGTTCATTAGAATCTGTTTTAAGTTTAATAAATCTCTAGCAGTCCTTCTGGTTCCCTTTTCCTGTTAATTGCGTTGCTGAACATAAAAGCTGTGTTATGTGCAGAATGACTGAGCTTATCCCTACTAGAAAGGAGTTATGTTTGGTATCTAAAGAACAATAAGGTTTTGCTGCCTGGCTGATCAATGCTGGATCAAGTTCACATTCCCAAGCTCCCACTCTCCCACCTACATATGCAGGGAGTGGAAACATAGCAAAGAGAGGGAGGATAGGTCCTTTTTTGCACAGAGATGTTGAACTGAGACTTACCTAATATGGACACAGCTGGGCTTGCACAGCAATAAACAATGATTTTAATCCATTGCTTGTAAAAACATCCTAAGAAAAGCACAGAAGTTAGCAACCAATTAATTTTTACTCTACCCATTGTTTTCTTTAGCCAATGGAAACAATTCATAGAGACTTAAATATTTTGGATAGTACCTTGCAAGAAAACAGCTTTTCTGTATTAATTAGGAAAGAGTAGCCTTCCAAACGGCCTAAATCTCTCCAGTTTACAGTCCCTTATAGGTAGTTTTAGTGCATTGGATGCAGGATATGAAATAATCAGAAGGCAAATGCTACTTTAGGAAACAATATTTGAGATATTTTTAGTGCAGGAGGATAGAGATTTGGCTATGAAGCTGAGGTAAAAATTGTATGTGAAAAGAATAAGATGCCACCTTCCCAGTGGTCTAGGGTTTTTAAAAGAAACACACATATTACTGTTTAACAGCCTGGAAAAATTCCCTGTTTTCTGGGTTTTTAGAGAGACATGCTTGTGATTGGAAGGAATGAATATATAGGGGAGATTTCTCATGTATAAACACATATCACATATCTGAAGTCCATGTAGCCCTAGGTAATGCTGACTTTTATTTCTCAATATAGTAATTCCTAGAGATGCTTACAAATGAATTCTGAATGATTCCTGATAGAGGTGATTTTTTGGCTCTTTCTGTGGGTGAGAAGACCCAGAAAATTGTGACTTGCTGATTCATGCAGTGGTCCAGCCAGAAACTCACAGTGATCTTGAGAGCCTGCCGTTGCATTCCCAGCTAGCCAAAGTCGGGTCTGAGAGCTTTTGTTTTTGAACCCAGTGCTTCTTTCACACGTTCTGCAAAAACACTGAACCACTGAAGTAGTTGGTATCTACTTCTAGAGAGCAGATTGCAACAAGATATCATGTCATGGTCTTCATTCCATCTCCACCAGTTCGATAAATGTTGTTGTGACTAATGTAAAGATCTTTCCTGGTTTATGTTACCTACAGTCACCCCCTTATCATTTAGTAGTGCTTCATAGTCAGACTGAAGGTGTAGATGATGACCAGCTTCTGTTTAAACACAGAGAAAATAAATGATTCTTTTAAAACTTATTCCACCTCCATAAGAAAGGGATATTTTTCCAAGATGCTGTAACTATTCTGTAGGCCCACAATGAAATCTAAATGCCAAAGTGAACAAATCTAGTGAAAGATAGGTTTGAAAGGTCTGTTGGCTGACAAAGCTATTGCTCAAAATAAAAATGAGCAGTAAAGGTCATGGTTCATCTTACAGTTATTATCCTTAGCATATGGGCTAACAGGATTTCATGGCCAGAGGGCTAATTGACTTTTGCCTTGAATATGTTTCTTTACCAGAGCTGTTGGTAGGGCTTTTTATTGCTTCGAGAGATCAGTAGACCTCTGAAAGACACTTTTACATTTATATTTTAGGGTTTTTTCAGAGAGAAATAAAGACTGCTTCATTTTCTTCCAGTCTCTTTATAGTGGAGAAGGAAGGAAAAAACACTATTTGTCACATCAGTGGTGATTTTCAGGACTGCCCAGTATCTGTGTTTAGGCATGTTTGTTATCTTTGTTTTTTCTGTAATTTCCAAAAAAACAAAGGGCTTTCAAAGTCCTATGTAGTTTTGGCCAGCCAGCAACTACCCATTGCCTACCAAGATCTCACTGTTGGATGGAGCCAAAGAGAATTTTATAGAGGATTCTCTTATGTCAAAGATACTTGAACCCTAGTCTTTGTCCTCTGGATTCAAAATGCCTGGCTTCAAATTACTTTTAAATTGAAAGAGGGCAGAGCCAACCTGAAATCTCTGAAATGTGAGGTCACATTTTCATCCATGATTGTATTAAAAATATCTCACAAATTGTCTTGCTTCTTCTAGAGGAAGATGCTGCAATTTACATTCTGGACTGTGCTGCTGAAGGCTCCCAGTACATGGCAATACTTCTCAAACAGAAGGACCTAAATATAAAAATGACGATCTACTTTTGCACTTGCTCCAGAGAGGCACCCATATGGGAGTAAGAGCACCTGGTAAAATCAGGAGATACCAAAAAGAAAAAAGTGTAGCATATTCTAAAAGTATAATTACTGTATTATGTGTAATATATAATATAAATGATATATAAGTATATATATAATATATATTGTTTACTCTAAAGTATATTATTTGGAGAGCTTGTGGTCAAGTGCTCACAGGTATTTTCTTTATCAGATTATGAATCTAATCTTGGACTGAATAGGTGACTATGGTGATTCATCTCTACCAAGGAACTTTCTCTCTAAGTCAGGGTTGCAAATGTGGATTTGAAGGATGTATTTGTAGTACCCCTTTGAAAAAAATGTTCCTGCAACAGTATTTGAAAATCATGTTGCAGAGTGAATGTTTTTTTCAAAGAGGTGCTGAAAGTACATCCTCAGAATTATTGTTTCAACAGGTTTTTGTCTCTTGGAGGTAGAGAGATTTTTCAAGAAGGGCAAATTTCACCTGAAAATAATATCTCAGTATAGGGGTGTGTCATGGAAGAATATTAGATGCAGCATACTGATCCCAAAAGAGAGTGTTTACGCCACCACAGACTCTTGATGGAATTAGAACGTTTGGATTTCTCTGTATCAACCTAAATGACCATCTTTCCTAAAATACAGTTAATCTCAGGAACAACTTGATTTTTCATTTCAGTAAATAAAGCTGTCACCATGAAAACTGCACCAAGTCACTTGGAGGACTTGCTTTTCCTAGAGGAGCACATTCTGGGCTTGACTTCTTTTTTAGTAGTTTTCATCAGCCACTGATGTACTGTTTCTTGCAAGTACAGGTTGCAGTGTGGATGTACCAGCCATCCTATTATTTTCAGTTGTAGCACACTGCTTTATTAGCCTCTCTGCCAAATTCTGGTAACAGTGGTGCTTTAAAACCCTTGAAATCATTGCCCTGGGGAATATAGGCTGTTTCAATCCATTATTAAACATCTTGTGAGCTGCTGGATAAAATACTTTTTGAATTTTCAGTTTCTGAACCCTTTTACAAAATGTTGGAAGCCAGGTCCTTTCCACTGAAGCAGCTTTCGGATCACACAGACTGCTGAGGGCACCTCTTATTCTCAATTTCCAAATAAGTTAATTTTCCACCTTAAACTAGTATTCTCATGCTTTTTTGCAATAAATCTTCTGTGTGGTAGAAAAACAGTTATATACCTTGTATTTTATCCTAGTTCCTTTAAAAAGCTTTTTTTTTAGTTTTCTAAAAGAAAAAGAAATTTTATTGATTTCACAAAGGTGATGACATCATCCTTTAAAAGTAGTCAGTATGACTCTGTTTCCATAGAATGAAACTGAGTGAGAGTCCATTTTTTGTTTGTGTATGTTATATGGGAAGACATAGGAAGGTACAATATCCCAATTTGTATACTGGCAGAGCCAGTTAGATCCTCTAGGAAAAAAACATGATTTGACTGTAAAATCTTTAGACTCTTCTGTGCTCTTGCTGGTGTCCATGTAGATCTGAATATATAAAAGTGGGTGTGTATGCCTGGTGTAAAACTAAGTAATTGAGAGGAAAATCAAATCTCTATAGAGGAGAGGTTGAAAAATATGACTCGACAGAATTACTTTTCTATTTCCTCCACTTTGCAGAAGCTATTCTGAAATTCATTTACAGTAAATATTTTTATTCCATTTTCCTTTCCATTTTTTTATTTTTGCCTTCCAGTATCTGAGGACTATTGGCAAGCCAACAAAACAGGGCACTGATTCAGTGTTCATCTTAGATAAGATGTTCTTCTTTGTTTATCAGTATTGGATGCTTTAGCATTAGAGCAGTACAGACCAACTGAAGTTATAGATAGTTTATGCAAAAGAAAAGTGCATGATGATAGTTTTTCACAGAATCAAGAAATGTCACTAGTAGCCGTCACAGCCTGAACAGTTTAAAGTCAGTTTTTATTTCAATTTAAAATGAAACAATTGCCTGTTGCACAAATATCCTAGTGTTTTCTAAACTATGTACAGTCCTGAAAGTTCATTGTATGCTTGGGATCTGGTCTGACTTGAAGAATAGCTGATGTAAATCATTGCCTAAGTTATGTACCAGAATATTGGGCCTGTCTTCACCCAATTGGTAGAAAGTGCTACCTCCTCCCACATACTTCAAAATTCAGTTATATTTAATCCTGCTGCTGCAAGAGTAAAGGGTCCCAGCATGCTTCGAGATGTATAAATGCTTGTTCAAATCCAATTGTTACATAGGACAGCTCTATTAGGAATCCATGAAAGAATGTCTTCCCAATTAAAGAAGGATATGCAGGACTGACTAATCCCTTCATTTCAGTTGTGAAGGCATTCAAGTATGACAGGTCAGTCTCATGTGGCACAGCACACAGGACTGCCGATGGAGGGCTATGCAGTCATTCTCCTTTCAAGTCAGGATTTACCATTTTGGTCCATCTCCCTTGTACCTACTGTAAGGGCTTTCCTTCCGGGAGTATGGAAGAATGCAGAAGGAGATCAGCTGTTCATAATAGCATAATCCTTTCTTTTCTCTCTCCCTCTCTCATTTTCCAAGCAAATTTTCCTAGTCTGGTCATGAGCTAAATCTTAATGAAGCATCAATAAGTAGAGTTAATGGCTGACTACACAGCTGGTATGCTGTGATCACAGCTTGTTAGGCCCACCCTATTTCTCTCACTGCTTGCTCTCCTCAGCAGTCTGCCTGGGGTTTGCATGTTGGATCTTCTCTTATGCTCTGTTGTAATCATCTTGTGGTAGAGATTCTTCAGGTTGTGATGTGCACAGCACCTAGCATGAGGGGATTCCCAGTGTTGGCTCTACCAGGTATATTGCCATTATAAAAAAAGTTGCTAACAATTCCTGTTGAGTTTCCTTAACAGCTGTGTAGCTCTTAAGATAAAAACAGGAGCTAGTTCTGAGTTTTGACACACGTTGCGTTTGCTTGTTCAGGGATTTTCGTCCAAAATTGGCCTCAGGGTCTGCAGGTCTGAAAATCAATGTCTCCTGTAACTTTTTTTCTCCCTAGTTTTCTCCAAACATTTGATAGGAGAGGAGGTGTAATTCTTTAAAGTATTTTGGGAAAAATCAGTTTTGCTGTTTCTATGATCCAGTCCTTCCAGTAACTTTTTCTGTGGAAATGAAAGATCTAATCTGTTAACTGATTCAAGGGAGCATTTTTTTAGGTAGTTGCATTAATTTCTGTTTGCCATTAACATCAATTTTTGATCATTCTTGTTCATTATGCTCTGTTATTCTTTCTTCATTCAAACACAGAATTCAAGAGTCAATTTATAGCAGCTTTCAGAACTACCATTTAGCAGCAGATCTGTTGTAGTTTTACAATATAAAAATATGCTGTTGATACCTGTTTTAAGTTGACCTGTTGTGAGTGTGAAATAAAGATCCCTAATAAGATTTTCTACTGTGATATCTCTATTAAGAAGTTCTTTTTTGTGTAATACTTCATGGTGAAGTTGCTTCTATTTAAAGCATCGAGTTTGATCTTGGCTTTGATCTAAAGCTTTTGATCTTGAAAGAAGGATGTTGTGGCAGTAAAACAAAAAGAGTAGAAGAGTTTTTTTTTTTTAAAGTGATAAAGTTAAAGGGATACTGTCAAGATTTAGTAGGCACTAATTGGACCTACCTCTATTTACTTACATCTGTTTGCAAAGTCCATCTAATTCTCTATGTGGGAGGGTTTGCTCAAACAAATGCTTTGATGAGCCTTTTTCTTTTACAAGAGCACAGATTTTCTTTTGAAGCTTTCAGGACATTGTCATATATAGCACAGAGTAGAAATTATTTTTTAAAAGCCTGAAAATACCTTATCAACATCATTTTAATTATACCAGATATGACACAGTCTGCCTTTTTTGTCTTGCATTAAATGCTAAATACTGCAAAAGCTTTTAATAATGTCCTAAGAATTTGTGCTATTCAAATTGTCCATGGCCAACAGTAGTTGCACCTCTCCCATCACAGCAGAGTTTGAATATCCTGTGCAAAGAGGTGCCTGAATTTAATCACCTGCTTGCTATCTCTGTTGAATAAAGTGTTTAACTTAGGCCTCAATTAAGGGGCTTGTTGTGCTATAATATGAATAAAAAGCTGATTTGGGTCTTCCTTTTCAGATACATTTCAGAACCTCCAAGATAACTCATTTGGTATTTTGGATTCTTTAGATGTCAAGAAAGCAGTGGGAAAAACTTTTAGGCGCTTGATTGTGGTGTTGCTTTCTGTCTTGAGCTAACCCCATTAGCCCATTCCCCTGTAAATAAAAAGCAGTGGTTGGGAACTCCAGTAGCAGAGGAAAGCGTACCTCAAAAATGAGACTGTGGTGAGTGTGTTGGCGGGCCGCCCTGGAGCCGGTGACGAGGAGGGCTAGGAGCCGCCCATCCCTACGTCTTTAAGGCAGGCTCCTCCTCTCCGCCGGGGGCTGGAGCACGGGGGCGGGGGACCCCGTGAAGGTGTTTTATTTCCTACTGAGGGCTGTGGTGTGTTGGGCCACGGTCGTAGCGGATCGGGAATGTGGCTCTGGGTAATGCTGAGGCTGGTTGGGCTTTCCGTGGCGTGCCCCGTCCCGGGGCCTGACGGGAAGGGAAGTGAGGGGATTCTGTGGGTGAGCTTGCCTCAACGTGTGCTTCCTTCCCTGTGTAGCCTTTGCTGGAGGAGGGTAAGACTTAGAAGGAGCATCAGCTTGTCCAGTAAGTGAGCAGTGAGGTGAGGAGAAAACCTTCTTTTGCAGTTGTTCAGTGCTCTCTCTGGACTATTTTTCCTCCTTGTGTCCTTTCTCCCTTGCAGATCTCCTCCTTTAGTTTTCTACCTGACACCCCCCACCCCTCCCTGCTTTTTCCTTAAAAATCATTGTTTTTGTATTAAGAATATAAATGTTTGTGTGTGGAAAAAACAAGTGTTACTACCTTATTAAATAATGACTATCCCATTGTCTAAAACTGGCATTGGTAATTCAGAAGAATAGTCAAGTGGGTGGCTGGAAATAAATATGTTGCTTGACACAGAAAGTGTAAGGAATAGAATGCAGAAATTTTCCCTAGGATTTTTGCATGCCACAACGACAACTTTCCATTTGGCAAACTGGTCTGGCATTATATGTGTTTACTTTTTACTAGAAAAACTTAAGCTGGGAGCTGTAAGTTTGTTTTAGTAAAGAGCAGAAAGGAAAAATACTGCATAAAATGAAAAACATCACCTCACACTTTGACCATGTCACAAGCAACTAACCAGATTGCCTAAAACCATGTCATTCTAGACTAGCAAAGTGTTTTCCCTCTTTCCAATGAAGTAATGGAAAAATGTGTCTTGAGTCTGTTTATAGTTTATTAATGCTGCATAGCTGCACTCAGGTTGCATCTTCTTCCTAAAAAAGCACTATGGTTTTGAACTCCAGGTGACAAAATGGATTCAGACAAACCAGAGGATCAGAAAAAGCAGCAAAAAGAAAAGAAAGCAGGATGAAGTTGTTTCCCAGAAGGTAGGGGTTCATGATGTGCATTTGTGTAATGGGACAAAGGGCAGCACATCTGAAATGCTTTCAGAGGGTGCCCTTTTAAGGACTAAAGAGACATTCTTAAGCTTCTTTGACAAGGTGATAGTAAAAGGGTATTAGTTACTGGCACAATTTTGATGTGTCATTATATATTTGCTATGGAAAGAAATAAATAATCTTTCAAGAGGTCAGTAACTTAGACAAAATTTCCCCACACTTGTATTTAACTTGAACGTTCTGAGGAAGAAAGATGAGAAGGCTTTCATCAGAAAAAGCAATAGTACTTGAGAGCTTCTGACAGAATCTGCACCATTATTTGCAAATATTCAGATACTGTTAATTGAGAAACAGTTTTCTTGGTGGGTATTGGGACAATAATAGATACATACATAGAAACAAATGTTCTGACTATGCTGTTGATGCTTTATTTAGAGGATGTGTTTGGAAGTCTTCTGTTTGCAGTGTGAGAGAACTCATGAAAATGTGTCTTGATGGTTGTTCTAAGAGACTTCAGAAGATTTAAAAAGCTGAGTACAAGCTAAATTAACTCAAAATATTTTTAAACCAATAATTTTTGATTAGCTATTCTGAAACATGTTCTATAATGCTGGCTATTTAAATCACAACGTGGCAAGGTAAGTAGCTGACACTTGCATAGCTGTTTTCTATCTTCTGAAGAAAAAAAACGCTGTCTCAAATACCAGTCACTAATGAATAAAGATGCATTTCTAAATGCGTTACCAGAACTATGATTTTTTTTTTTTGCTTGTCTCAGTTTTACAAACAAGTTTTTAATTACTAAATTCTTGTTACCTTTAAAGGATTAAAAAAGCAGTGTGTCGTTTTGCTGTTTCAACACTGCTTCTAGAATGTATGATTTAATCATTGCTCTTCCTGTAGCCAAATTCTTGCTGATAGCATGGCTGCCAACTCCTGGGATGCGTTGCCTTAGTATGGGCATTGCAGTATTTGACAAATGTCCACAAAGTGCATTGTTGCATGTGGGTGGTTTACCAGCTCCATGGTGAGTTTAAAAAAAAAAAAAATGCCAGATTGCATACTTTAATTCATTACTTTTATTTTGTAGCTGGGATACACCATTTAGGAAAATATCTTCTATATTGTCATAGCTTAGAGACATGATCTAAACAGAGATAGCAATAAATGGTTGCACCAAATAATTCCTTTTCTGTTTGTATTTCTATATGTGAATATGAAGCATGTATGTTTAGCATTTGTATTTAGGATCACTTTATGTTAAGACAGTGAAGGCTTTTTTTTAACATTAAAAAATGTATCCTCATGTGACTTTGCTAACTTGAGCAAAATCATGCATCAAAGGTACAAATAACCCTAATATAAGTTACAGTTTGTATAGTTTGAGGTATTTTTAAATTATACAAAGTAGATTCACTGCTATATCTTTGACAGTAGGCTTGAAAGTACCTTATACTGTTATACCTTTTTCATCTCTTTTTATAGGAAAAAGCTTCCCCACTGTGAACCTCTCTGTACTGATAAAATTCCATTTGCACTAGGGGGGTCGTTCTGCTCTTACTGTTCCAAGGTTTGTGAGAAAGAACTCTAGCTTATAGACTAGTGATGTTAGAAATGCAAAAAAGATAAGGTCTATTCACTGTAACAATAACTGAAAGTGCAGGGTTTTTTTCTAATAGTAATTCTTTGAGAACTGTGAGTAGAAATGTAAAGTAAAACTAATGGCAAGAATATGTATTGTCTTCTAAGATCCATAAGTATTAATAATTCTTGGAAATTCAGTGCAGATTCAGAGAGCTGCAGCGGCAGGGTACTCAACCCAAGGGGAAGGAAAAGGGGAGCTTAGCGCTGAGCTTCTGTTTGGCCCTGCAGCCATTGACTGGGTGCTGAGGGTGGGATTCCTTGGGTTCCTTAGAAGTTTGGTCATTGCAATGATGACTCTTCCAATAGAGTTGGGGACAAGAGAAAAAGGGAGAGAGGTCTCTCTGGTGCTGGCAGAGCTTTATTGGATTACTTGGATTCAGACTTGGTTCCAATGAAAAGGTTCAAGCATGGGCTGCCCAGTCGGTGTGGATGGTGCTAACCTCTGTTCCACTGGAATTACAAATTTTTAACTGTGTCCATATTGGGTTATATCAGAAACGGCATCGTACAGCAGTATGAAGTACTTCTTTCTTTTTTCTCTTGTTTTTCCCCAGAAAATACATAATGAAAAAGGGGCCATTGAAGAAAGTAGAGGTAGGGATAAAACCATGGAGTGAGAAGAAGGAGATGAGAAACAGAGCAATAAGCAAACAGAAAAGTCTGAGAGTTGGTACCAGCCTTGTTATGCTCATATCACAAATGTAATTAAAGTAAGGTTACTGACATTTTGCCACAGCTTGAAAACTGAACTGTGTGTTGGTCTTGCTTATCCTTCCAGAACATGCACTAACTTATTACGTGTAGCTTTTAAACTTCTCTGTTCCTGTGTTGTCCGATTTTTTTCCTCTATCATTTTTTCCTTTGTGATAGGAAATCCCATTTCTAATGCAAGATGGATGACTTTGCTATACTGAGACACTGCAAAATCAAAGCAACTGCTTCTGCATCCAAGTACAAAATCTAAGACAGAGAACTCTCTGTGTGTGGAATAAGTGAAACAATTGTGGAGGAAAGGTCGCTGACAACTGCATGGGAATTGCTTCCTGAAAAAAGTTGCCTTCTAAAGAGTTAAGATTTTAGGAGTCGGCTTTACGTATGCATATATGTATTTAAATAACATTTGAAGATGCCATGCGTTGGATAAGAACTGTGTAACTGATAGCGTTAACTGCACTCAAGGGGCATGTGAACCAGTGGGGAAGCTTGCATAGAAAGGTGTGATGCTGCTCTCCACTGTGGACCCGAGTGCAATGGATTATGGCAGTGTAACAAATAACCATAGGTGAGAAAGACTTTCTAGATAACTAACTAAAAGTTCCTTTTATTTTACTTTCTTCTCTTATCTTCTTTTTTGTTCTTCAGTTTTTTTCTATTTCAAACCTTCTTGTTGCTCTGCAAGTACTTTATAATAAAAGTTGCTAGAAAAATAATCTTTTCCCTGTTTCTTTCCCTGCCTTTTCTTTTGCTCTTCTCCTTTGTCTACTTCAGTCACCTTCATCGCTGTTCATGCCTCTCTGTTCATTTTCAGTCTCCTTTTCTACTACTTTCTCCTTAAGCTCTTCTCTTTTGCTCACCCTATTTTCTGTTTACAGTACTCTGTAGATAGTTTTTACCTTCCCCCCCCCCCCGTGTGTGCATGCACATACACAAGTGTATACACACTCAAACCTTGTACTTGTGCTTTTGTCATTCTCCCTCTTCTCATACTCTTTACTGTTTGTTTAATCTTACCCTGTCTCTTCATCTTGTCAGTTAGCTGGTCAGCACATCTAGTGATCGGTACTGTGTATCAATATCGCAGTATGCACAGCAGAATGTTGTTTATGTGACTAAAATAGAGAAGGTAGAATAGAGCTTGGAAAGAGTTGGTTGGTTAAAATTAGTAGTGTTTTAATATGCAGAGTGTAATAAAAGTGCTAAGTATTATTTTTGTTGTTGTTATACTGGACTATGCCTGGTTAGACAAAAAAATTCCAGTCCTTTCAATTCTGAGTGTTAGGTGGAAGAAAACCTTTTAATCAGACTAGCGCAATTGTAGCATGTGATCTGCATCTACTGTGGAGTTTGAGGGGGGAAAATACTACTTTTTTATTAGTAACTAGTTCATTTTTATACATTGATTACAAATGTTGGTATCTAATTTGCCTGTGACTGAAGTTCAGCGTTAATGATACGTGAAAGCTGCTTTGAAAGCGTTCAAGTAGTAGAAAAAGTGTCATAGGACAGGATACCAAGGGTGATCAGTAATTAGGGGGAGCACTGAAAAATACACACTCACAAAATAGGTGAGGAAGACTAGTTCTTGCAAATTATCAAAATCGAGTTTGCTTTCAGTTTTAGTTTGGTTCTACACTGAAACTTTGAGGAGTAATTCAGCTTCTCCAGAATAGTTTATGATGCTTTCTTGGAAATACTGTCTTCATGTTTTTAAAGTTCATCTGCTAGTTTACTAAAAATATGATTGCCTTTGGGTTTGTGTGTGTGTGGCTTAGCCTCTCCCCCCCCCCCCCCCCCCCCCGTGGTTGCTGTCATTAATTTTTCACTTTCTTCTCACTCCAGGGTTACAACTGTCAGCAGTATTTAAGCTCTGATAATAACCTGAGCAAAAATGACTTTGTTTTGAAATAGCTGTTAAGTTTCTAATAAAGAAACCGTTGTAATATGTATGGCTAATGCTAAATGCTATAGCTCTTTTATACTTTAAAAATAAACTGACCAGTATAACTAAAAGACAAGAAATGGATCTTGTAATTCATTAAAATAGGTTGTGGTGTTCTAATTTAAGTAGAAAATGTTTTGAAATCTCAGTGAAAAAAATGTAGGGAGAAGAAAATATGATGTGGTAAAAGAAAGGTTCTGTATAACTAGAGAATTTAATCAGGATGATGTACTTCTGCTTATTCGTAATAAAGTAGCTTTAATGTAATATACATTATTAAAACCTTAATTCTTACATATTGTTTGCTTTTCAAAACAAATATTTTTACTTGAATCTACCAAACTGAATTAAATCAAGGACCAAAGGACATCTCTAACTTGTACACAATATAGAGCTAACAGCTTAAAAATGTAGTAAGAAGCTCTAGAGTTCTTTAGACAGTGTTCAGTGGAGTCATTCACTATACCTAACCCTTCCAAATTCTGTTCATCTTGCAGAACTTTCTAGGAACCCTATAAATGTGTTTGTTGGCCTTCACTGATAACATATAACACTTAATTCTATTGGCAAGCAAGGCAAGAGAATTCAGATGGAAAATTCTGTATCTACCTCATGCATAAGAGCTGGGTTGCCATAAATGTTGTTAAGTCATATTAGAAATAGAGCTTGTAGTTTTAAAAACTTTTCCTCCAAATACATATGAATGTAATTGCAGATCATTAAAACTAAGCATTTTCATCATTTAGCTTTCTGTCTCCATAAAAATATCTGTATTTATGGATTGTTTGGAAACTGTAACTATACAGCTTCAAAGAACTCTATTTTTAGGATAGCTCTGCCTCAAAATTGACTTAAACATTTAATAGAATAAGAAAATGCTGTGTCTATATGTAAATACATAAACATTTAAGTAGAATTTTTGATTTAGCCATGATAAGAAAAAATAGTCCAAGTCTGACCCCAGTATCAGCTGTATCTCATTTGCAATAATGTTGTGTCAGGATCTTAGTTCCCTTTTTAATAGCACCCATATCTCTTAGCAAAGAAGTGCTGTTGCATAGCATATTTCACATTTAATCCCCCAGATGGATATTATTATTATGTTGTAAAAGGGTGAATAATTCCCATTAGGGCTCTTTTTAAGATCAATGAAAGCAGCTTACCACTACATATATGATGATGAGCCCACTCCCTTTCACCGTCTGAGATGACTATTCCTAAATTAGGAGAACTCAGGCCAGCATGGCCATGTGTTGAAATAGTTTAAAGTTAACAGATAATTACATCACTGTTAATTACAGCAGTTCAAGCCAGCAGCCACCCCCCTCTTGTGCTGTGAAAGATTAAGGTCACCTTAATGTAAAACACAAGGTTTGTGCAGCAAAGAGAAAAAGCTGTTTTAGCAGAGGGTTTCTTCCTTTTGATTTGTAGGAAGAATTAGTTAACATCCTGTGATGGACCACTATTTGCCTCATTGGAGGCATTTTAATGAGGTAGTATTTGTACGTGTTATCACATGATGCTAACAAGATAAATTACATTACTGGGATCTATTAATGCCACTGAAGTTTGGTTCTGCTGTTTCTAGTTAAATCCCGCTGTTTGGCAGTTGAAATGTGTTCCATTTACATCCTTGCTTGCGAGTACCTTTTGCCTTTAAAACAGGAAATGGAAAATATGAGAACAGTTTTCTTTCCAAAATACAGAAAAAGAAAAAACATTTGATCATTTCTAATACTTCTCAAATGTCTCCCCTATCAGTGTTTATCTAATTATAAACAGAAATGTAGTGGGTTTTAGAAGTAGAAAGCTATCACTTTTCAGGGCATTTGGAAACCAGAGTAACTTACTACATTGGGAACAAGTAGGGCACTGCATTCAAACATTCTATAATTTTTCTTCTACAGAAACTTCATATGGACTTATTTTATAATATACAATTATGCATGGCAGTTGGGGACACTTAAATCCAGTGGATTACTCAAGTTCTTCCTGATGTGATTGACTGTAATGACTCTAAAGGAATCTTAATGGTTGTCTGGGTCAAACGTGCTTTATTTCAGTATTACATTTAATACACATTGTCAGAAATAGGCTTAACAATTTTATGGTGACCACTCTTAGCCATTGCCCTTGTTCTGTGTCTTTTATCTATTTAGATTATGTTCAGATACTGTGTTGTAAAAGCACATGCATAAAAGTTTGTAAGAAAGGAAATTGTTATTTAAAGAAATATATGAGCACAGAAGGTAAAGACTAGAGCTTTTACAAAAGTGATTTAAAAGACTTTCAAAGTTCTTAATCCAAAAAAAAAAAAAGTCTTTTAAAGCAGGCAAGTAGCTCACTGTAAAAAAAAACAAATGCATTCTCTATGGCTTTAATTAGGCAGGATTGAGTTTTTAAAGATGTGTAAGTTGTACTATGCTCATTTGCTCTATGTTGTGTATCCTTTTCTCGTGGGCACCAATTGAGTGACTTCTCACGGTTGTCTAGTTTCTGTCTTCATCTGCTTTGCTCACACGTTTTGTGAGCCCTGTACCAGCATTTAAAACTAAACAATAGTATCTGAATGTTATTATGGAAATGTGTAGGTCTATAGGAAGACTCTTGATGCTGACAAACTATCTAATATCTGCCTACAGTTTTACTGAAACTGTAGTCTTGGTGTGGATGAGTGAGAATATTATTTTTTTTCTTTTCCTCTTTTTACTGTTAAGCTAAGTTCTTACCCTACAGTGAGTGCTGCCCAGGCAGTCTCTGTATCTGAACAGCATTCTTGAAGTATAGGAAATATTGTTGTTTTAATTCTTCGTAGGTTTGATTCACAAATGATTTCCAGTGGCAATTTACTTCATAAAGAAGGTGTAAGAAAGTTGTTTTCCTCCTCTGCTGTAACTGTGTTCTAGTTAATAAGCATTTTCAATAAAAGTTTTTATTTTTATCAAACTGATTATTGATGGAGAAGAAGCTTATGCAATTATCTTGTTCTGTATGTGTCTTTCTTCCCTTTTTCCCTTTAATTTAGGCCTCCAGTGAGCATTTTCAATCAAATTTGTTAATGTTCTGAAACTGCCATCTCCCTGCTGGAGATCCCATGGGGACAGCCCCATTGAAGGCAAGGCAGAAGTGTGAACTCCATCCTTTTTAGGAATCCTAATAGCCACGTGATGAGGAGATGTTATGACCGTCTTAACCACAGGAAACGTTTCTGTTGACAGTTTGAGCCTATTAGACAGTTTGGTTATGAGACACCAGTTCCTAAGAAATTGGATTTCATTACTTTTGCTTCTTACAGGACTTACTGTTTTGATTTTATGAACTGTATTCTACATACTTTGCAGGTTACATGCCCTGAATGTGGTAAATGCTCTCAAACTCGAGCATGCCACATCTTTCAAATGTGGATCTAATAATGAGTTTGCCTTACAGTTGGTTTCTTCTTCCACTTCTAACACAAATACCTGAGAGAAAAAAGAGGGGCTTGAGACTTAGCTTGGAAGGCTGGTGAGCGTTTTGCTTATGTTCTCTCATCCATATTGCAAAAGGAAATGAAACAAAGCTGCAGAGTATTAAACGCTTCCATGTCCAAGATCCTGTTTATTTCAAAGAAAAGATGACCAACTTGGTGCTAGTTTTGTGATAACTATGGTTGTCATCTTGTTTTTGTTTAAATTCAAGAGATTTCTCTGCGTTTTGGCTGTACTTCTGAGGAATTCAGTGAAGCTACTCACATGTTTTAAATGCTTTGCTGAACCAGCATTCATCCTGAAGATCTATTTTCTGAGTGACTACTTTTCTGACTGAAGAGGAGATAGAGATTGGCTTCTCCTATTTGCCTGGAGTGTGTTTGTCCCATCTCCCTCCCTGCCCCCGGGAGATGTGATATGATATAATTTTTTATC